GAAAATAAAGTGTATCTATACTGTGCTTCAGCTGCTCGCTCACAGACTCTGTCATACTAATGTACTTATGCGGGTCACAGGGTTCAGTCGCACCACGTGGGCCCTGCTGTCCTCCATCATACAGACATCTCACGGCCCATTATTCACCCATAATGATGTTATCTTGATAACCTCGGAATAGCTACCCCCCCCCCACCCCCCGACTTCCTTTGTGTCCCTAATTCATCAGTTCTCTTCAACTTCACGCTCTGTTCCTATGGCAACTGATTGTTGTAGTTATGTCACACTCAGATGACTTCTGACCTTTTCCTGTGACCCACATTGACTTGTTTACAGTCCAAGGATTAAGAGAGAGAGAGAGAGAGAGAAAGAGGGAGAGAGCAGCTTCAATTGACTGTGATTATAAAGTGTTTCCTGATTCTGATAAATCTTTGGCTTAAAGAACCGTCCCTTCTGGTCTTATCGCCGGCTGATTTAGCATTCCTTCCGCAGCTGAGAGAGGGCGGAGATACTTGAACCATTCGGAGAATGCTCCCAGTGTGACATCCAAATTAGTCGTAGAAAAGTATGAGGCCAATTTGAGCCCAAACATCTGTCCTGCGGTTTGTCCTCAAACATTTTTAGAGGGCACAGTGGGCTTCGTCTGGCTGTACAAGCTCTCACGTTTCCCTCTCCACTTTGTCATTTCATTAATACCTTCCCGAAAGCAGCACGTCGTTCCGCAGAACCAGGACAGTCGGGCAGAGATACAAGTTTCTGGCTTGTGCATTTCGGTGGGAAGAATCAGGGACTGTGTACCCGCACTCATCTGCGTCCTCATGGGAAATAAACAGCGACTAAATCTAGTTGTTGGCTTTGCGTGTTATCTTTAAAGATGAAAGGACACTGAAAACAATGAAACCGCTGCCCTGGGGTTTTCTGTAGGAAGGAAAAAAAGCAACAACTGGAGCGAAGAATGAAACCTTTGATCTGAGCAGTCCCATTGAGTTCGTCTGAGACTGGACCCAGAAATAGAGGAGACAGGGGTCAGGAAGAAAAGCCACAGACCCTGTTCACAGAAGTCGCCTCAAACACTAGCTGCACAACTTTTTTCACAACAGTCAGCTGTTACTGTGGAGACATTTGCGGGAATATTATATTGTTCATTGCATATCAATGAGTCAAACTTTATTTATATACCAACTTTCAAACAAATCAAATGCAAAGCAAAGCGCAAGTGAGTCACAAAACATAGGACATTAAAAATAAATTTAAATGAGTTGATAAACCAGGGGATCCAATTAATTCAAAATACATTCAATCATGGGTGGCTTTGCTCAAAGCTATATACATTAAATGACTTAAATGTGCATCATATTGGATCAGCAGCTGAGTATGGATGTTTCTCATAGAATTGGCCCCTCTGTGTAAATTGTGGCCCGTGATTAAGACAAAAACCAAAATCCGCCACCGAAGCAAACATCCAGATTAAGAGACTAATGCATACCAAAGACAACAATAAAAGCAAGTTCGAAAACAACAGTGCTAACTAACACACCATCGTGCTGCCCATTACACAAAAAAAGAATAGAGTAAATGTTAATAAGATATGAATATGACTCATAAAGCACTAAAAAATGGTTTTTAATTTCAATGTTTTCAGTTCCTCGCAGATGGTTCATTAACTGATATAAGTCTGTGTCCTGCCTCATTAACTAATCAATAGGAAAACTAATAGGTAACCAGTGTAAAGGTTTTTAAATAGTATACTTTAATAAAGTATTGTCTTTCAATCTTAAGCAGATCAGCAATGTTTGCATTAATAATATATAATAATATCAAGCTTATCCCTTAAAAAAATATCTGTCAGCAATATCTCTTGTAAATGTGCTTCTTGTGCTCTGCGGCTGTGTGTTTTCAGTGTGTGATGAAAGGTGACACTTGGTACTGCAGGCAGGTATTAACAGTTTGAACTGCCGGCCTTAACAAGATGTTACTTGCAGCGGTGCATTATCATTTCAGCCATCACTGAAACAGGCATGAATTACGTCCGGGAGAATATTTCAAGCCATAGAAATAAGAGCAAGAGAAGGAAATTCATTTAATGTGTCCTTTTGTACAGTGGGTTCAAAACGCACACAGCTTAACCAGTGTCCAAATTCTGATTTTCAATTGGTCTTTCAACCTCATTAAAACATATTCTCAACATTATTTTTGCACGTAGTGCGCTGATAAGCTAATAAGGGAGAAATCTGTGCTGAACCAGCAGGATTTTGATAATGATGTCTGTTCGCTTGTGTTTAGTTTTGGGCGACTGGCAGCCATTGGTGCACAGTCACTGCAGCCTGGCCCGTCTGCTCTGGTTTCATAAGCAGAGAGAGTGAATGACCTATATACTCCTCTGAGGGAGGGGAAGTCACCTTGTTGGTGGACAGGCAGGCAGGCCCACTGGTACACAGCGACAAGGTTTTAATGTGCAGCACTGTTAAAGGGTTTACCACTGCCTCGGTATTAAAGCTTTACACTGAGTTGTTCTTGGCCTTAAACTTTCCAGGGCTGTTTTGCTTGGCTTGGATTGTATAACTTATTCGAACTGATGTGAATAGGCCGATGCATAGGACGAATATTTAGTAGATTAACAGGCTGAACACAATAAACACACCCTCTGGACACACAAACACACACAGACACACACGCTGGTGCTTGCATTAAATGAAACCGTGGGGCCCGGTGCCAGAAAGATCCAGTCAGACAAACACCTCACCAGAGACTCCTCTAAGCGTCCTAACAAATTGAATGTGTGTGTAGATGGACAAGAGGGAATTAGATCAGTGGTCCTGATTGTATCTGAGTGTGCCGCTGCTGTACCCCTTTCCAGCAAGTCCCCTGGAGGAAATGTGTGTGCATGAGAGCGAGCGAGGCAGAGAGACACGGAGGCGGCAGGAGAGAGAGGGAGCGCTTGGCAGCTGGTTTGATGAAGGATGTAAGGAGAATGTTAACCAGACAATCACCTTGCGTGTTATTGATTGAGATGGGAGCGAGGTAATTAGCACAGAAAAGAGGGGGAAGCTGAGGCCACTTTTAATGTTTTGATACAAGGTGTTCTGTCTTTGTACCCGTCTACACGTTGTGTTCTTTTTGTTTGTGCGCACGTTTTAGGAAAAATTTAATACGTGCGTCCTGATTTGTGCATCGCCCGGGCCGCACACATCTTTGAGTCGGCTCTAGATGTAAATGTAAATTTTTCTGACATGTGAGAGGCAACTGATTCTGTGTCATTCCACGAACAAGTAGCATAAATAAATAGCATACCCAAACATAATGAGCCTATTTATTCACACCATCAAGTGACATGTGATGTGTCCTCCTCCACACTGCAAACTTGTTCTGTGCAATCATCAAACCATGTCAGGTTTCACACTGAACTGTATTTCATGGCCCGTTCAAACGTCCCACTTTGCCCTTCTTTTGCTTTACATCTCCATTAACTCGAGTTTGGTTTGAGAGATAGATTTGGTCGCAGTGTCCTCGGGGCGCGCACTGGACATAAATCCTAAAAAGCTTAAAGAGACACGATGGAAAGTTTGCTGAGCAACAGCAGCCTCTTCAGCCAGGAGCAGAGATTCAATCTCCGAGTCTGAGCGGTCAAGTGGTTTTCATGTACAGGAAACAGAAAAGACTGGAACTCCGATTGTGGGTTTGCGTCTCGGAAGAACAAACCGAACGGTGTTTTCTTTCTCACGATTCCTGGCTCCTGAACCAGGAGGTTGTGCCACCGAACTGCAACGCTTCATTACTAATCAACCTGGGCCTGATTCCAGTGGTTTTAGCCACTAACTATCTCTTAGTAGCCCGCTTCTCACAAGAGATTATTTGTGGTGACTGTTTTTTAGATGACATAACGTAGATGACATAACATATCTTTGACATTTCTTTCATGCGATATGATTCATTGGCCGACATCAACACTGACACACATATCTCGGAGACACAAGCATTTGTCTGATTACGTTGACCTGTTAATTTCAGGGCCGTGCTCTAAACACCGATAATACATCTGCCGTGGTTTACGCACAATAAACCACGTTATCAAAATCTTTCCTCCTTGTGTTTTGCTAATAAAAATGAACGTCTTAACAAAACAAGCCGTGAACCAGAAGTGTGACACCAACACAACAGGTATTCAGGCGATCCCACTGTAACTAAAACAGAACAAACATATTATCATCGTCAAGGTTAAACTGATAATTTTCCATGATTTAGATTTCAGGTCATATTATCCCTCAATGTTTTACATATCTTTTTGCTTCATAGTTAAATCTTAACTCTCAAGTACCTGAATTCATAATTAGACAAAGACATCATTCATTCTTTTTGCCCTTTAACACTCATTAACCTGACCCACACGCACGGTTGCGTTTCCAGAAAGAGGTGAACCTTAACCGATTCCCTCATTAAGTGCTGCATGAGTAGGAGCGTACTGTACATCCCGAGCTGTAATGGTCACTGTAGAAATCAGTCAGTGGTGAAAGGAGGAGATGAAGATGCCAGAGTAAACAGCGGACACTTGTCATTTCTGCTGACTGTTGGTTACTCAGAGTAAATCACGACAGCAGTGCAGCACACGTCAGGGCCGATTCTCACTTTTGCATTTTTTATGTTTTTTTTTTTTAGTCCAACGTTTAATCTCACTTTTCTAATGCCAGTGTTCAAGGTTCTGCTTCAATTTAGATGCTGCTATACGTCTCTGTGCTTATTAAGTTCAAATGATCTTCTGTCATGCCTGTAAAGCTGGTGAAGCTGTAAATTTCTCCTGGTTGGCAGACATCTTTATGGCTCGCCACATTGCGCTGCTACTGTACTGAGGCTCATAAAAGAACCAAAGAATGTTTCCCAGCGTGTATCAGGCTGTAACACGGGGAGAGAAGGGACACTCTGCTCTCCCTGGCTTTCTTGTTGACTTTTTAAAATTCTTTGTGTTTGGTAAAAAAACTAAAAAATGTGTCTGTTTGTCGTTTCAGTTCGCCGCTGAGACAGCCGTCGTCCACAGTCAAAGTGTGCCTGGTTTGCGGGGACGAGGCGTCGGGATGCCACTACGGCGTCGTCACGTGCGGAAGCTGCAAAGTCTTCTTCAAAAGAGCTGTGGAAGGTACGGCACTAACCCACTCTCAAGCAGGATGTCACTGTTTAGGGTTTTGTTTTTTCCACGAGCCAACGTAACGCGCTGCATGTTCAGAAAATACGTCATCACCACTTTGAGGAGACGTGGAGTCTGTGAGTAAATAGGACACAAGCAAATCAAGACAAATCAACAGCGCCCAGGCTGCACCGCAAACACAGAAAACACAAGCAAATAGAGAAAAGCTGCAAGTTTTACACAGTTACAACACAATCAATGTTTTTCTTTTGGCGGCAAAAGGAATTCTGCACATGCTAGGAATTATTGCAATGTCCAAATATCCTGTAGAATCATAATCATGCAATCTGGGTGTCAGAACTAAAATAAACATCAGCTTTCTGCAGGTTTTCTGTATTTGCAGAATGTTTATGTTTTGAGATTGGGTGAATTTGTTGCTTAGTGTCCTGTTTATTCTGTAAATGCTACAAATGTGTTGTGGTCAAGATGTTTTCTTTCATCGTTCTCACAATGAACATTATTATTCTTTAGAGAAAAATGACATTCAGTTGTTGTGTTTCAAACATTTAAACATTAATCTTATGTCTGGCCGCCACTGTGCCAGAGTTATTCTGTCATTCAGCAAGTTTCAAATCACATTACGCCAAAATTAATACTTGCAGTCGGTTGAGTGAGTATCAAATGATTTCAAACAATATCATCTTCACTGACAACTGCAGCCTCCTCCAGAGCTGTTGGCAGACGTTCTGCTCAATTCATTAACAGTTGTTCAGGGGGAAGAACTTTGTGCCAAGCAAGTTTAAATTTGTGGTAAAAGCTTCCAGCTTTTCCAGCTGGGGAAATGTGTGTAAATACAATAACTTCTTACAATCATTTTCAGATAATCAGCCTTTTCTTGATACAAGCATGGTGAAAACCACTGAAGCAGCTTGTTCCTGTTCCATTCACACAGTATACAGATATATTTCTGAAGAATTATCAATCAAATTGTTGAAGCTGGTTTTATTTGCACTACACTGTTTGTTTTTTTCAACTACTACTGTTCAATCTCAATATATCCTTTGCATATTTATCATTTCCAGAAGATAATTACCAAAAGCATCACATTTATAGACTGTGGCCAAGTTAAGTGGCACATGAGAAAAAAACAACAACATTCAGAAGGTAATTCTCCTGCAGCCGCCATTTATGTTATATTTAGCTGAGGGAAAATCAGCTGCACCATAATGTGCTTTTCATTTTGTGGCTGTAGCCCGAGGCGTGCGTCTAACTCATTTAGATGAATGTTGCATAGATGAATGTGAAACACACTCTTTATAGACCCAAAGCAAAAACAAACCCACCAGCCAGCCAGCAACTAGACCGGCCCCCCCTCCAGATATTTTCCTGACCATTGGAGTTGGAATTGCACTTGTCCCCCCCCCCAATCAAATCATGCCTTAATTTGATGATATTTACACACCATCATTGTGGAGACCAGAAACCAGATTATGTGTCTGGGGTTATCAAATCAGACGCGCCGCTGTTCTTGCTTCAAGCGAGGCCGGCAGAGAGCTGGTGGCTGATGCTGGAGATGTGACTTTGTGTGAGGGGCGTTCAGGAGACGCTGTGGAAAACTCTTGATGATTAAACTGCTGAAACCCTGCCCCTCATATGATATACAGTATAATCACCCTGACTCATTGACTGTGTAATAGCCTTCAAATCTAATGCAGCTTTACTTTTTATACCTCTGAAATATCACTCTTTTTTTATTGGCGTTTCCTCTCAATTGTGCAAACAACCAAACAGCTGCGACTAAAAGCGTAACACACTGTATCGGCCATACAGTGTTTTGATGCCACTGGGGTTGCGTGTGACACGTGCACTCTTCCTCTGATGTGCACAGCGAGCCGTTACCTTACTCGACCCCCACCTCTACAGCTCCTGCCGAGGTGAAAAAAGAGAGAGGCAAGGGTGGAAGGGAGGCGAGGGATGAAAATAGTGAGAGGAGGATTTTGCAAAGTGAAGAGAGATAGAGGACAGTGAAACAGATACAGCGAGGGAGGAGGGGGGGGAGGAGGAAGGACAAAGAAAAAGTCAGATGCAGACAGAGAGATAAAGAGAGGAGGAGCGGAGAGAGGGGAGCAAGACAGGGAGAGAGGGATGGAAAGTGATGTGTCAGCAGCGAGCCCCTGAGATGTGTAAGTCGGGACGTGAGGAGACGTATTACTCCTCCCCTCCACCAGTATTTCCTCCTCCTTCCCCCTCCCTCTTTTCTCTCAAAGTTAAAAACTTCGACTCAGTGTGTGATATATAAAAGCAGACTGCAGAGAGTGGGCATCTGTACAAGGGGAATAATCCAGCCCATGCTTAATTTCTTTTGGCACCGCCTGCCTCGGGGGACACAACTTTTTGGTCGGCTGTAGCTCATTAGACGACTAACTGGCTCACAGCCCTTTACTACAGAGCTAGTTAGCATTCTGCAGCCATCAACAAATCAGAAGGAGTCCTCTGACTGTGGAGGGTCTGATCCCACCCCCCCCCACACACAACTCAATCCAAGTCACTGCTAGGTAGCTTTTTTTTACATCACCGGAGCTTGGCACAGTGTTTCTTCAGAGTCTACATTTCAACGTTTACGTGCAGACCATCTGTTTGGAGAAGCTTTTGGCCACAGGAGCCATTTACTTTCCAAATCTGTTCACTTACAGTCCTCCTCAAGTGGGCGAATATTCATTCCACTTAATTCTCGTCATATCTACCAGAAGGCACGGCCAACTGTACACTATAAACTTTATCACCACGGTCTCTGGAAAAATGTAGAAGTATTAAATTAATTGCAGAGTATATGCTACTGCAAATACACTTTTTCCTTGGAAGAAATATTCGTCTTCCGGCTCCTCCTATGCACTTTATCTTACACCGTATGGCAACGCTTAGCGTCAACAGTAACAGTATTATCGTGATGGCTCGCTCTGATTGAAGGTTGTGGGGGGGGGGTTACACAGTTGAGAACCAAACCAATAATCTTGGTCCCGCTTTCTTCTACGTGAGCTCGCCACAACATTAACTGACACGTTTTTAGATGTCATCCAATATTGAACAAACACTGAAGAGTCACAAGAACACGTATGAAGTTTTGCTGTTGTGTAGCTACTGTCGAAAACTTTCACGTGCAAACATGTCGCTAATTTTTATACTCTAATGAAATATATACAAATTCCTCAATCGGCAGAAAAACGCCTTCTGAGACGCAAAACTTCATAAATGTGTTTTATCGTCTCTAATGAGAAGTGGAAATAGCTGCATGCTGCATACATGCAGTTATGTGCTTCTCCCCTGAATCCACTAAAGACTCGTCTGTTGATACAACACAGCTGCACTCAATAAACGACTCCATGTGCAGCGCATTTGAAGAGCTGAGCGCCAGCTTATTATTCACATGTCATCAGTGGCTTGGCATGTCTGCTCTTTGTAATAATACGAGGCGCTCCTTTTAGCTCACTAGCTGTGTTTTCGCCGGTTTCTTATTGAAGCGAGAGGTTTCCAAAGACTTAAGTCAACCTTGACGTGGCCTCACTCTGCTCTTCAATGTGACTGGGTCGCAGTTGCCATGACGTTCGCGTCAATCTAAAAACCTGTTCTTGCAGCGCTCCCTCTGTGGGAGAGGTCACCCGAGGACATGTCTTGCGCTGCTTCTGCTTGACTGGCAGCCCCGACGTCCAATCACATCGCGCTCAGATTAGGTCGGAGGAATAAAGGCGTCCCTCCAGCGCTGGAGTGAATGCTTCGACTTGCGTGTGTGTGTGTGAGGGCCGTGTAACAAAAGGCGGGAGAGGAGCAGTGTTGTCCTGATCCCAGCTCCTCGGCACATGTCTCACATCAGATGCTCTTTGATCAGAAAAACTATGCAAAACATACAAACACAATCGCAGGCTCATGCTCACTATGCACACACATGCACATGCACATGCACTCACTGTAGATAGAAATTAAATCTGCAAAGCTTACTGTAAGCATGTGTGTGACCCACATTGCTAATAGGCATTTAGGCTGCAGCGTGAGGAGGGGTCTCTTTCTAATGCAACCTAGATACATTTACTGTTACAGTGTGTGTGTGTGTGTGTGTGTGTGTGTTTGTGCCTTTTACATTCATACATATGTATTTCTATTGATTCATGTATCATTTGTGGCTTCATTGATGACTTAAGTACTTAATAATTCCAGTGCCATACACGTTGGGATTTCTCAACATGTGCAGCCTCTTTTTACAGTAACAGGTTAGTTTGGTGCGTGATGATGTAAGTCCCACACTACGCACACTACTTCCTCACTTCACCTGACCCCGGCCACCCTGTTGGCCTGACGGATCTCCAATGGAAATAATCTGACCTTCATCTCTATCTCCACCCTGGTAACACAAAAAAGTGGGTTAAACCGTTCACGTTCAACCAAAGAAACGGTGCCAATCCACAGGGTTTTATCGGTGTCTGCACTGATGATTGATCTGTTTGAGTGACAGAGTGTTGTGGCATTGCATTTTAACCTAAGTAGACTGTAAATGTGCATATCGGATGCCTCTAGAATGTATTATCAGCAGATACGAAACTAAAGTTACGCAGACGATGCTGTACCAATCAAAATACCTCGTATTCCTTCTAAATGTGAGTTAGAGGTAACGTGTCTCTATAGAGACTTCAAACACTGGATATTTTAATGTCTAATCGGTGTTATAATGAATTGTATGAGATCATTGTAAGATAGATTTATAAACACTTCCACAGCTGACTGCTTTTATACCTGAGATACATTAAAATACAATACTACAGGCTAGCAACAACTAAATGCCAAATAATGACTAAACACACTATGTCTAGTACAAAGGAATCAGGAGGAAAATGCACAGGACAACTGTTTGCAACAGAGCACATTATTATTGTAGAAGTGGAGACATTAGTAAGCAAAATAACAGCTTCTATTTACATCCTATTTGATCTCCGGCAGCCTCTCTTTATAATGATCCTGACAGGGAAACTTAATTGAGTGGATTTCCATCCAGCACAGCTGTTTGTGTGTCGTCCAAAGCACAGGCGTGGCCAAGCCTTTGCAAGGCAGTGATTTGCATATTGCTGGCAAAGTGTTTACAGCAATTACATCTCAGAGAGGCCGGACTTTTGGTTGTCTGGATATTTTTGGTTATGCAATTTTGGTTTGCATAAATACCAATGAATGGCGATCAGAGAATTCACCAAATGCTACGCTAGTGGATAATTAAATGGCGTTAATCCATGAGACAGACACAGATTTCGGCTCGTTCCTTTAGTTATATTCCATCTTCTGTGTCCAGTGCTGGCTTGAAATGAAGAAATGTGTTTCCTCTGCCAAATGCCTTTCAGACAGTGACAGTGGGATTATTGATGTGGGGCAGCGACTGTATCTGCGAGGGTCTGATCACTGTGGGGTGGGTATTTAAATATGTCAGGGTAAAAAGCCTGCGGTCTGTCTGTGTGTCGTCTGGGAAGCACATGCACCATATTTGTGGCAGTAGCAGGAGGTCCGCAGGGCAGACCGCTCTCGTTTAAGTGGGGGTCCCCACAGGAAAACAGTGTTTCCTCTCTGAAGAATTCCCTCATAACTGATGTATGCTGGAGCTGACAGACAACAGAGACAACTCAGCGGGTTGTTGCCAGTTTGTGAGATCATTAGCTCAATGTAGACGTGAGTGGACTCCATTAAAGAGCTCAGAGGGTTGCCATGTACAGAATGATGTAATGATTAGGCGAGTTCAGGAACATGCATTGATGCTTTTCATACTATTATATGTTAAAATATCTGCTGTGAAAAAGGCCCCTGCATCCAATTCACACAATCTGAGGAATCTTTATCTGTTTTGTGGATTATTATATGAAAATATGATAGGATTTGGCGTTAGTGACCTATTTTGACTGTAAAAAATCAGACATGAAAAGTAAAGTTACGTTTTTCAAGGTAACATTGAAAAAGGGACATTTATCAGTATGGCCGCCACGCGACGTGGTTGATAAGCACATGCACATATTCAGGGGAAAACACGGTGTGCGAGTCCATGTGAGCACATACACACATGGGTGCATTAATAAACAACTTCTCCCCCCCTTCACACACACACACACACACACACACAC